AACCCCCATTTCAGACTGGGGGTTACAAAAAGAGCATAAATACAAAAGAGTATTAATATAGTTTTCAAATGATTCATAGGAAGCCCTTCCCCTCCCCATTATTCAGGAAGAGGGATGGAGAGCTCAGAGTGGAGGAAAAAGTGTATGTCTGGAAATAAGACAAGGCAACTATCAGAGGAACAAGAAAAGCCATTTCACACAGCAACCTTCCACGGCCTGTTAGGTCCAGGGTAATTTCAGTTGTTTCTTGTTTACTATGCAATTATTTTAGATTGTCAGACCTAGAAACTTGACCTTTACAGCTTCAAACAAACAACTTGGACTCTGTTCTCCTGAATGTTCTTTTGATAAGTGCTTTCAGTGAGGGGATTAATGCAAGATGCACTAGTACTGCTGTCATATTCCAACCATGCTTTCAGAATCCTCTGGTCAGAACAAAAGAACTGCTGAAGTGCAGGAAAAGAGGCAGCTAGAGAAGAATGACTGCAATGTCAGTAGCAGTGGTATTTACTTCCTTTGGATATATAAAAGTGTTGGTTCCCACTCGTGTTTGCAATGAGGCAAAATCCAAAAGAACAAACCTCTTTCATTAATGTCTTTTATGAAAACAGTCTCTATATAGGCTTTTGATAAAAAACCTCAATCAACAAGGCTTTTGGACAAGAAGAACTTTTGAACCAAAACATCAAGTTTTGAACAAACTCAAGGTCTCTGCAGTTGGGACTCCTGCAGTTGTCACTGTGGCATTTTCCTGTGACACATATTTTAGGTGTGACCCTCCAGGAACTGGGAGACATTTATGTAGCAAGTTTAAGCTAGTGCACCACAAAGAGGGAAAAAACACTTCAGAGAGAGAGAAGTTTTGAGTGGTCTTACACCAGAAGGGTGAGGAAAAACAACTGCATATCATTGATGTGAATGATTTCATTTTAGTGAAAGGACACAATGCTATATATAAGTGGTCATTTGAATACAGGGGCCCTCAAAATTATGTACATATATATCATGTGCCCTAGTTCTGTTTTACCTCATACTGCATATGCCAAGTGATGCTATTTCAGAAGAACACTTGTTTTCTATTTCTGCACATTTGGATGATTTCTTCTATCTGTTCCCACTAGTATTTGGGATGTGATCCTCAACTCTCCACAACACAACAATATGCTCTGATTTAGATCCTTCCCTTTTGTGCCACATATTCCTTGTCTCTGCAAGGGCAATACCTTGATTGAAGTGTTCAACATCAAAGAGACAGGTAGAAATAAATGCTCCTTATATTTGGGGTAGTTAAATTAAAGGGCTAAACATAGTCAATAAAACACAAGAAGGAAAAGAGCTGCATGAGTCATTATCACAACCTTGTTTGTAATTTTTTACTAACTTACATTTTCGTTTTCCTGTCAACATAAGATTTTCAGTCTCATTTCAAGGTTTTTGTAGCAAAGCTGATTCTGATTATAAGCTTGTGTGATATGAAAGAAACTTCCCTGATGTCTTGAAAGAAAGACTGCTTAAAAGTGATAAAGATTAGATTTCTATTTGGACAGCTAAGTTGTATTCTGTTAACTCAGTTTGAAGTGAACTGGAGGCTGCAACTGAAACACAGACTATTCCCCAAGATGCCTGTTTGAAGGACATTGCTGCTCCTCGTTCTGATCCCAAATCTCTAAAGTGATTAAGTTATCTGGACACATCAGGACTCACTGCTCCTGTTTTCCTAATGAGGGCTGACCTGCCCCAAGCAGCAAGAACACTCAGCAGGA